CGCATTGCGGGCGCTCTGCCGCCCCGAGCACGAGCACGAGGATTACGAGGCGAGGCGCACCAATGCGGTGAAGCTAAGACCTCCCTGGAGGATTCTCCACACACTGCTCACTCATTCGCTTGTCCCTAGCCTGCAGTTAGGACATCTGATGACGAATAGAGGGCTTCTGCTTGTCTTCTCCATGAGGCATCCTGCGGAGCCGATCCATCTGGGATCACTGATAGCCACCTCTTTTGCCCGTTGTCGAGGGAGGAACAAGGTGAAAACCATGCACATGGGGGGCATCGTCACGAAGATTCCCCGCCACTTTGGAGTGGATGTGGAGTGATGCTCCATCATCGGGAGGACCTAGCCCTTCCCAGTGGCTGCACTCTATAACCAGTAGCTGGTACTTTAGGAGAGGGAGATCGAGTACCTCGACAGGCTCCGACCTTCGGGAGCCATGCACCCAGCAGTTGACCCGGCTCCAATGGAGCCAGATACAGAGGCTCCACCCCCAGAGCAACCACCTGCTCGAGCACCTAGTCGCCGCCGACGTCCTTCGCTCCAGCGCCCTATACCACCAACAACAGGAGATTCATCATCCAGAGCACCCGGTGATCCCCTCGTCCAGAGGATGTATCGCCTCGAGACTCAGTTTGGGGGAGTGACTTCCCGCATCGAACGACAGACCGACCTCCTTGAGCAGATGGCTCGACGCTAGGATCTCATTTCCAATGATGAGACGGGGCCTTCGACCTAATGAGAGGTAGCCGACGAGGGATATATGTGGCAGAGCCGATTCCTTTCGCCCCACTACTCTACTTGGAACTCTGAACTCATTTTTCTTATTTTTCTTTCTTTTTTGTGTTTGTGACTTTAAACTACTACTACTATCGTATTGTGTTTGTGTATTTGTAATTTTGTCTTCTCCTTGAAGGTCCAAATGTGCTACCCCGGTAACAATTCCAACTTTCACTCACCAAGCAAAGCGGTAACATCATTCTACCCCTGTCTTATGCCATTGAGGGCAATGTCGAACTTAAGTGTGGTGGGGGGGGGGGGGTAGTTTATTATTATGCTTATGTGAGTGTGATTAACGCTTGGAGCCTTGAAGTTTGCCCAAAGTTTGAAAATTTGATGGCTCCAAGCAATGTTTACATGATCGAGTGGCCAGTTTGTGGGAGAATTTTGTGTCTATTTTCTTTGACCTTGAATTATTGCATGTGATCGAGTATGTCCTATGATGATGATGATGTAGAGGTCCATTAGGATAATGCAAAGGTTTAGTTCTCATGAGTGCATAAATGAATGGATGTTTTGACTCGATTACTTGTTGATTACAATTGCCATGCATGTTGTTTTGTGAAACTGGAATGAATGATTGGGTAACTAGATAGCCTTGTGAGTTTTGAGTCGATCGTTTTCTTCTTGTGTGCTTAGATCCCTCTTACCATGGCGAGTAACATCACAGTTGTCACTAGTGAATATGATGGAGGCATATGATTAGTCCACGTCCAAATATTGATTGTCCGAAATGATTTATCCACTAGTCAACCCCTTTGAGCCTTGTGACTTTGGGGGTCGTTCTCATGTTAGGAGCTTTTTGCTTGTGAGCTTAATGGTGATTGATAAAATGACCCCCAATCCTTTATTCTTGTCTATTAAGAAGTCGTCCTTGTGACCGGAGCTCTTGCTTTTGAGTTCCATTGAGGTTCTACATAGGAGGATTTTGTGCGGTTCTTGCTAGGAACGAAAGTGAAAGGAAGAGTAGCGTTTGAGTGAGTTCTTAAAAAGAGAGCATTTATCGTTAAAAGTAGTGTGGAAAATGTTTAACTCTCTAATACCCCCCTCAAAAAAATAAAAGAAAAGGAAAGAAAAGGAAAGTAGAAAGAAAGAAGAAAAAAAAGAGAAACGAAAAAGAGGTAATGAAACGGGGCAAATAAAGTAGAGAGTGCCACAAGGAATCAAAGAGTATGCTCTAGTAGAGGTTTCTTGGAACTTGAGCCATTGAAACCTCCACATTGTCTTAGAACTCCTTCACTACCAAGGTGAAATGTGATAGCAAAAGTAGACCAAAGAAGAGCGCTTAAAGGAAGTTCATGATGGGTGATAGTTTGGAAGGGAGAAGCGAGGTTTTAGGCCTATGCTAGTGGCCATTGTTTGCAAGGAAGGTTCTTAGTCGAAACCAAAGAACCTTCGGTTTTAGGTTGAAGTTGTAGGACCTCGTGATGTGTTTGCCACCACCCAAAAAGCAATTTCGCCATGTCCAAGACAATCGCCAGTCATTTGAACCCGTGTCTAAGAACTCCGGACAAGCTAGTGATGACAACCATTCCGTGAACTCTAGCATTTAGAGGTTGCCGCCGTGGTGTTGAGACGATAGGGCTGAGTGTTGATGATTGTGCACATTCTTTGCACCAAAAGGTCCCGACACCACTGGTCAAGAGAGTGAGTGATTCATTTTTGTTTTGCATGTCATATCATGCCCCGGTGAGGACTTTTGTTTCCCATTCGTTTGATCCTTGGACTTGAACTCTATGGATGGTTAGTTGTGGTTGATTAGTGATTTTATTGAAACTTGCATTGATTCATGAACAAGGTGAGAACTTTTCATTTGCCCGTTTCTAGTAGCCTCGAATGTAGTTTGTGGTGGATGTCGGTATTGCTTGCAACGTTCCTTGTGTTAATTGCCAATAGCCATTGAGAATTCCCACTTGGTGCCCTTTGAGTTGTCCCCAAAGTATTTTGTTAGGTTGAGATATTACCTTGTGTGAAATGGTTTGCTTGGGGACAAGCAAACGTCTAATTGTGGGGTAGTGATTCGAGTCTAATTGTACACATTTTATCCCCATTTCCCTTGGGCGTTTGTGGCATTTGTGCTCCTAAAAGGGTGGTTTTACGTTACATTTCTCGTGTTACGGTGTGTTTCAAGATCTAACAGCTCAAACCACCCACGGAGTCGTAAGTTTGAAGCAAAGGAGCAAAGACTGGGCAAAGAGAGTGATTTAGGCCATGTTCACAGTTTCCCATTGGAGTTCACGGTCTCCTAAGGCCCTGAACTGGAACCATAAACCGTGAACCACAAAGCGTCTATGGTGGTTTCAGAGGTTAATGACGCCGAGTGAGTTCACGGTCACCAAGACCGTGAACTTTGTGTGCAAACCGTGAACTTAAGTGAGTGAAACGGTGTGTTTCGACACAACACTCCGAGTTCACGGACGCGATGAGGATTTCACAGCCATGAACTGAGCCTGATCCCAGTATATAATGTGAGTTGAAGGGAAGAGAGGGGGGGGGGGAGCCCAAGTGTGAGAAAGCATCTTCTTCTTCAGATTTGAGAGAGGGAAAGGACGAACCAAAGAAGGAAGGAGATTAGGGTTTGCTCCAAGTGGTGAATTGGAAAGAATCTCCCAAGAGAAGATCAACACAAGATCAAAGGAGAGTGGAGGCATCACCATGATGGTTTCTATTTCTATCTTTTGTGTTCTTCCCCTTTATTTTGTGTCGGTTCACTTAACCGACGCAATTCCCATCAACACTAACCTTATTCGTGTTTGTTTTGGACAACCAACGGAGTAACCAACACAATTTAGTTTTGTGAGTTCAACTGACACTACCTACTATAAATTAACCCACACTACCAATTTAATTTTGGTCAAACCGATCCAGAATAACTCACGCTCTAATCATCATTTTCAGTTTGAAAAAACAAGCTAAGGTCGACAATCAAGGTTGTTTTTGTCTTTGACCACTGATCCAAGCCAGGACTTCCTTTCGCTGCACAAACCATACTATGGAACCCATTGAAACCCAGAAAAGCAAGTATTCTTCCTCCTCGACCTTTTCTGTTAATGGTGATACATTCTTTCTCCTCAATTGAAAACCCCCAAAATTTAACAATCAATTTCATCATCGTCCTCCTTAGAGTGGAAATCGGTACGGTATCGATATCCCAATACCAAATATCGAAATCCCGAATACTAAATTACATCCTAAAATCAATCACAATCACAATCCCTAAATAATTTCGGTAATCCAATCCCAAGCCCTAAATATTTCAGTATCTCAATCGGTACTTCGCTATCCCAATCGGTATTATCGAATATAAAATTAATTACCTTTAAAATTAATAATTAAATATATAAATTAGATTTGTTTGTTTAATATAGGACAAAAAGACTAAGCAAAGAGTCTTGAGTTTGGCTAGAACTAGGATATTGATAAGGAGAATGTAGGAGAGGTGATATATCAAGTTTTTGTCGTTGGTAATCTTTAATTTGACGAATTGGAGGCTGAGAGAAGACTATACTAGTGTTTTCTTTTTTGTGTTATGAAAATAACAAGAGATTGGTGGTTGAGAGTCATGTAGTAGTGAATGGCAGAGTCTAGTTGAAAGGATAAAATACACACTAGCTTATATTTCAGGATTGTTCGGTATTTCAGTATATACCGATCCCAATCCCGTAAGTCCTAATACCGAATAACAATTGAAATTGAATCCCATGCCCAATCTCAAGAACTAATATATATATTCGGTAATACCTAATATAAACAAATTCGGTACGGTATTCGGTATATCCCAAATACGTCTTCCTGCCTCCAATCCCTTCTTCCTCCGAAATTTGAACCCCGACAAATAGACCCCCAAACCAACAATCGAAACCGCCAAACCTATTAAGTGGAGAAGAAGAAGAAGACACTCTGCAGAATGAATAGAAGTGAAGAGTGCAGAGGTTCCAGAAGAAACGAAGTAGAAAAAACCTCACCCTGAAACGGAAACATTTCTGGGTTCCCTTCCGTCCAACTTAGGCGAAGGAACAAGACGACGTCGCTGTGGAGTTCTGTTAGCTTACCGTTGAGTGGAATGAGTTATGACGAATCAGACTGTGCCAAGTGGCTTTTACCATTACTGTCAATTTGAATTTCAGTTTATCATTTCCATTTTCACTGTTTATGTATCGTGAGCTAGACTCTACTTGGATGATATATAAATCAAAGCCAGAGAGAACCTTTCTCTTTGCGCATTCCCAAATTCATTGTGCCGTCGTCTCTTCTGCTAAACCCTAAGCTCGAGCTAATCTGAAAAAACCACCCAGCAACCGAAACACTCTGGTGTTTACTCCTCTCCTCTCCAAACCCTGAAAAATCGAGAGGCGGAATCTCCCCCTGTGACACAAATCTCTCGCCGATCTTCGCCGCTGGACGCCTGGACCTTTTCCTGGGACGCAAATTGAGAGGTGTAATCGAGAGGATATGAGAGGGCGCTGCGATGACTTGGGTGGCTTTGAGAGGGGTCGAGTCCCCTGCTCGCCCAATTGACTAGATCTGCCCCTTTTTGTCGCGTCGGCAGCCGTGGTGAGGTTGGCGGCTCACTGGGTCGGGTTTGAAGAGATGGATGGTGGCGATTTGTCTATCTGAGAAAGGTAGAGATGGAGGAGACAGATCTCATTTTAGATCCAGGCGAAGATGGCAAGGAGGCAACGGTGGAGCTTTGTGCGGGTGGCGGGAGACAGATCCTTTCTTCGAAGGTTTCGATCTGGTGGGCGGCAGGAGGCGGAAGCTGGTGACTCTTCATCTGCTCAGGGAAGCTGTCAACGTCGCTGCTGCGGTTGATCTTCCTTGCTTCTCCTTGAAACCAGAAGGGGGAATTGAGAAGGGGTGAGAAGGTGAGGAGGAAGAAGGGGGATGTCTCGTTTTGGTGAGGGGAAACAAATAATAAGGATGGAGAAGGAAGAAGGAGATTTGAGGGTTGGTTGGGTTCCATTTTTTTTTTTTTTTTTCACTCCTGTTCGTTGAGACATGAGAGAAAGAGTGAATAGAAATATGATGAGAAGAGGAATAGAGGGCTGCCAAATTTTGGGCGGTCAAAAGTTTGGGCGCTCATTATCAAAAAATTTAGATTAGAACTCGGATTTTTCTACAAATAACACTGTTCAAAAACGAAATTACAATAATATCACCCAATTCCGATATCTTCCAAAAATAGCACCCTTTCTTAAAAATCGCTGGATGGGAGCGCGGTTTTCCACCAAAACCGTGCGAGTTTGGGGCGGTTTTTTTTGCCACAGTGGGTAGGAGCGGTTTGGTTCAAAACCGCCGCCCAACCCAGCAGGTTTGGTCCTTTTTTCCGATTATTCCTAACCTAGATGAAAACTTCAAATGAACGTATCATTGTTTTAGGGTATCTGATCGTAGCGAATTTGTTTTTTATTTCGTATAACTTTTCGAGATCTTTCAAGCTGCAAATTGCCGTAGACAATTTGGTCCCGCCTTCATCCCGAAAAATGTCGTTTGCTACCCCGAACGAGTATTTTTTTTTTATTTCGTCAAACTACGGACGACCATAACTTTGTGCTATAATGTCAACTTTTTACATAATTTTGTGTCAGTTAGAACATAGAACCGATACAAAAAGCAATTGAAACAACAAATCACAAATTAACGTCCAAAAAATGAACTCCAACTTCGTGTCAGTTGCAACCAAACCAATCCGAAATATTGTGTCAGAGTTTGCGTCAGTTCATCAACCGACACAAATTGTCGACGCAAATCAAAATTTCTAAATTATCATTTGAAATCATGAGATATTTTCATTGTTGTTTAGGACCTACTACGTCTGCTTAGGGCCTCTTAGAATTATGATTATAATTTATATGAGTACTACGGCGCATGAAATTAATGTATGTATATTAGACTAACAATATTGATCTAGCTATATGAACTTGTAAAAATACGGAGAAAAGTTCAAAATAATGGAGAGTCTTATGTAGTAAGATATGTATGATATACCGAAGTTGTAATTGCATAAAGGATTGTTGTTTACTTCTCTTTTATTATTCTATGGATCATTATAGGCAAACACATAACTAAAGGTTGTTGTTTGCCCATGCACATTAAGGGTTTGATCAAACATTGATATTGTTGTGAATTAACTATTAAACTAAACTCATTAACAAATTTCACCATTGTTCAACAAACAATTCATATAATGAACATTAAAGTCTAAATATTACTTGGTAAGTAACTCGTATTTATTAGCAATAACACTATGTGATGTGTGTTTAGCGTGTATAAATTAAAGATATGATACACAAGTCATAGGGTGCTCCTACGGTGACATGCATGTCACGATTACTTGCACTTTTCGGTCGACCTCAGTTAGGATTAGGTCGACCTCATTGAGGATTAGGTCGACGTCATTTAGAATTAGGTCGACCTGATATATTGTTTCAGTGTAAAAACAGTTTCATGGTACCTACTTTGGAGATTCATATCATACAATTGACTAGATGGAAATTCAAGATTAATGGCTTGTTTGAAAGGTGGAGTGTCCCTCTACACATTGAAGTGATTAAGAGCTTGGTAGGAAGTTAAGAAGACCATTTTTGAACCTGATCAAAAGGTTATGCCAAAACTGGGAAAATGCCTGAAAATGGCTCAAGTCTAGAAACGTGTTTGTGAAGCCTACTTTGGAGCTCAATTCGAGAAGCATGAATGCAAGTCGAGTCCAGAGACCTCTACCACATTAAATTATATATGTTTTTATAAGTCATTGGATGAAGTATTGTATATCTATAAAGCTTCAAACAAAAGGCTCGAAGCCTTTTTTTTTTTTGCAAGATGAGCCACTGTATTTGCAACGCTGACACAAAAGTCCTCTTTCTTTCTTTCTTAAAGATTGGATATCGTTAAGACTTCAAACAAAAGGCTCGAAGTTGCTACGAAACCTTTTTTTCTGGCACTCAGAAAAAAGACCAGAAAAAAAGGTTTCGTAGCAACTTCAAACCTTTTGTTTGAAGCCTTAACGATATCCAATCTTTAAGAAAGAAAGAAAGAGGACTTTTGTGTCAGCGTTGCAAATACAGTGACTCATATTTAGGAGCTGGGAACAGCTTACCATCCTATTACCAACAGCCAATGTTGGCCTATGACCCCTTGTGATTTTATTCAACAAGGTTTTCATATTAACAAAAACATCATAAAGTACACTCGCAAACTCATCTTAAATTCACACCAGGACAGCAATCGCAATACAATAGTTTCTGCCTCCAAATGAAACAACAACAGCCATAAAAACAGTTACTGATAACTCGACGTAGAATCAAACACAGAAAAAAGTCCATAAGAGTGGGAATTCTTTTTTCTTCGGCAAACTCCCTATCTAAGTTTGAAATACAGAATCAAGATGACCGCAACAAGAAGGGCCACAATAACAGCACCGATGATCCATTTGTTTCTGTTCATCCTTCTGCTCATGTTACCCAAAACTCTCTTGCTCCTCCCCAAGTTGTCATCTACTCCATGAAGCTGCGAAAACGACAGCTTCAATGTTCATACACAATGCCATAGCCCAAATTCCATTCCAACCCTAGTCAATACGAGCAAACAGAGTGAAGTAAAGATGGATCAGTACCGTATTGTGACCACGCAAAAGAGACTGACGCTGCTGATGCAAATCTTGAAGAAGAGAAACGCCAAGCTCTTCTGTTTCCAACATAGTTCTCCTGCTGTCCTTGATTCTTTCATCAGACTGATTCAATCTCTCTGTCGACGTCATTAATCTTGACCTATGATCAGCTGATGCCTGCACCCAACATCACATGAACAAGATATTGCTTAAACATCCTTGTAATGAATGTAGAACCGATATGTAACTCAACCTAGGAGAGCCATAGGATGCTTGATTATCATAACTGCCAAGTGTAGCAGTATGCAAGACATTCATAAAACGGAAGTGCACAGATACTCAAAAAGTAGAGAATCCCCATTGCCCTGCGTATGCACTTAAAAAGAAAAAGAGTGACTGGAAAATCGCACAATATCAAAGAACTAGAAGAAAGATCACTCATATCAGTTTGAATACATCATAATATTTAATGTGCCACAGAATGATAAGCCAGTTAAAAAAGCACCCCAAAACCATAATGCATCCAAAATGCTAAAGCCCAAACATACCGTCACTGCATCAGACAACCCAGACTCTAGCAGTTCATCTCGGGCAGCAGCATTGAGGTTACCAGAAGCAATCCTTTTAACTTCACTTTTTAGATTATTGAGATCAGACTTATATTCTCTTAATTTAGCCAGAAGCACAGCCTTGACATTTGGTGGCAAACTTCTTGCCTCAAGGTCCATTTTGCGAATCTGAAAGTCATTAACAATGAGTTAAACTCTGGGGGAAAAGCAACAGAAAATAATACGCTAAGCATAGGTGATTAATAAGATACCAAAGACTCTGCATCTTCCAAGGCGACTTTTATTTCACTGAGCTTTTGCTTCTTTAGCTCTGCACCATGATGAAATACTTCTATTCACATCAAGTAAGAAAGCGACCACCAAACCAAATATCAAGCACAGAAACTCTACTACATACAACGAAATATACAGCAAGATAAAGAAGCGCACTCTTAAAACTTTAACTTGTTGCTCTGAGAAAATCAAACTCCACATTGATTGAAAAGCAAGATCTGTGTATATATCACCACCGAAAAAGTCTTTGAAAAAATTCGGCCTCATGCAACATCAAGTTGACACACAACATGAGCATGAAAAGCTAGACAGAAGGATAATTCTTAGAAAACTATCATCCTTTGGATCTCATATCAAAACACATAAGTGTTAAAAATTTCAACATGTGATCAAGATAAACTTATCTATGTTTATTTCCATCGATAATTTGAATATAAAAATGCAATTTGTACGAACCAAAAACGTTCTTATACTTCTTTACGAGTCAACATCTAGCTCAGGAAGAAAAACATCACCATATCAATATTTATAGTCCATGAGATTGCAATGCAGTTTCATCAGTTCTCACCTCCATCAAGTGCGCTAGCTGAAGTGCACCTTCGGGATAGATTTGCAGATAGCTCACAATACTGGCGTTCGTATCCTTCAAATACCTCACTCATTTTCTCAATTTATCAAAAAGCAACACCGATCTGAAGAGAATTGGCACACATAAGTTACACAACCAAATCAATTTTCGACACAACAATCTAAGAAGATTCTGTCCGTAATTCTTCAAATACTTCTTAAGCTTTCAACATATCAAACAAATATGATATGGAATTCCTAGGCATACATGAGAAGACTGCCTTAGCCTGTGCCAGGCGAGGCTATTGTGCCAATGATACTTTATTACAGTGTAATGGTAGTGAAGGTGGTAGGGAGCTGAAGATGATCAGAATCACAAAAGCAAATTAGCGTTTTTCATATTGTTAAACAGAAGAAGCACTGGACCAAGTAAAGACCAATTCTAAAGTGAAGAAAGCTCCAGGCCAAGTGATGAACATGCTAAACAAGTACCTAGCTGGGCAAAAAGGAACATAAGCAAGTTTAAAAAAATATCGCAAATATAGAAAGCTATGCGCAAGCTATGTAAGCGATCTAAAAATTCATTAACTTCATGGACCAGGGAGACCGGTTCTATGATCTATTATGACACCTAACAAGGAAAGATTCACAAAGCCAAGGCAGTACCAAGAAACCTTATACTCAATGTAAGGATATAAGAAACAGTTATTCTAAGAATTCGAACAGTAAGAGACTTGGTCGAGGATTGGCTTAACAAAGATGTCCTGCGTCCGCGAGGATCAAGAACATCTATCAAAAACAAATAAAAAATAGAAACCAAAAGAAGCAGAATTTTACAATGCTTTCTAGTATTGGTGTTTTGGTTAATAAAAATCTTTATACTACAAACTGAACTTGTGCTTTTTATGTCATGGTAAAAATTCAGTTTGCACACATACATTTATAGTACAAACTATTTATGTTAGGGTACAAGGTACAAGCCTAACTTGTATCATAACATAAAGGTACAAATTCCTTCATGATATAACTTGTACCTTTAATGTTATTGTACAAATTCAATTTGTACCTCGAAACACCAATATTTTAGAGCACGGTCGAAGGGCTCGAAAGAAAGGAATACAGCTGTTATCCCATGGCGTTCGCATCAAGTAATGAACACAGTTCCCAACCACCGCTAAACCATAATAGCAAAAATAAGCTAATGGCCTAAGGCAACTCCTTCTGTCCCTTGAAAGTTGACATTTGGAACAAAAAAAAAAAAATATACATCCTAAGTTTGACCATGCTGCGATAGCCTTATTAGTCATCCTAGTTTGGATCATCAAATCAGAGTAGAAAAAAGCGAAGATGCTGGAGGTGGCGATGCTCAATCGTACAGATGAAACCCATGGAAACTATTCAAAGGCTTGCCCCTTAGGCTCACTGGCCGAACCCAATAGGCAATTAGGCATCATCATCATCATCATCATCAATTCAGCTCATCTCACCGGAGACCTAGATTATTCTTTGTGATAGTCTGATATTTCAATTGGACGAGATAAAGGATACCTGAGAACAGCCTCCCTCCTGGATTCACTGAATGCCTGCAAAATTGACTTCCACGCCTTGCGGTTCTCTCTTCGCCGAACCGATCTTCCTTGCTCTGATTTCGAACAAATTAAATTTTTTTTTTTTTATCTCCGACGGGTCCCGCTTTCTTTCTGTCACTCCTCTCCGACCAGCAATCTCTCTTACTCTTCCTCTCTCTCTCGCTATCGTCCTCTTCAATTATTTTACTCTCTCTCTCTCTCTCTCTCTCCTGCGACGTTTAGTCGGTCGCAACTCGCAAGCCAAGCCAGGCAAGTAAGTAACCGCTCGCCGAAACGGCACACGCTAGCAACTAGCAAGGTTGTCAACTAGTTGGTCCGCCCAATGAAGCAATTGAGATAGAGGTTCGTTCATAGGTTGTTCGGTTCGGTCAGATTAATCACAAATATACAAAATTTTCATTTTAAACAAGATAATAGTCAAAACAAAATTTGTAAACAATTTAATGTAATAATTATTATATTATATTATTAGTATTTTTATTAACTAAAATATATATAAAAGGGAAGGGGTCGCTCGTCCCCACCCCGTGATTATTTCCGCCAACAACTAGAAGAAACTCTCAATCTAAAAAATCCCAATATTCTCCCAACCCCGAGTCCCCTCCCTTCACGATTATCCCCCCCCCCTTCTTGCAGCGGAAGCGTAGAGAGGAGCAGCGCACGCAACGAGGAGAAGAAGGGAAATCCCCCCCCCCCCCCCTCGGGGCGCTTCCTGGTTCCCAACAAGAAGAAGATGGTAAACAGAGCACCGGTCTGGTAGCGAGAGGGAAAAGAACAAGAAGAAGAAGAAATAATAGTAAAGGGAGTGGTTCTTCCCAGCAGAGTCGCATCACTGCTTCCCTCGACCAGCCTTGATCGTGAAATCGTTCGAAAAAGGTAAGGACAGTAACGTCACGTCGTTTTCCAAGTTCGTTTGATTAATCAAACTAACTCAAACCCATCAATTGTAAACCGTAGTTTGACAGCAAAAGATTGAGGTCTAAAGGTGGTTTAATCGCCAACCAATAAGGAAATGGAAGATGATGCGATAACTAAGCCGCCACGGTACCTTCCTAAACGACCTGGGGTATGGGCGACCCGTCGATGGCCTCTGAACTGCGAGCCAAATAAGAAGGTCAATGAGGGTAACGATAGGACACTCCAAGCGTAGGCGGTGGTTGAGGAATTGGTGTCCGAGGAAGAGGAACTAGAATGTGAGTTTGAAGTGGAAATTAAGAAGGAAGATGAAGGAAAGACTGACGACGACGAAATAGAGGTTCAAGAGAGCAAGTGGCTTAAGGTTTCTTCGTCAAAGGAACTAAGGAACCACCACGCAACAGGTGAGTGTAAAGGGGATAAAATTTCCATCGAGGTCCTTTAGATTATATATTTTATTTTAAGTTATATTCGTTAAGTTACGAGTTATGTGCGTTTACTTATTATGGTATCCCACCGCCTTCTGAAGGTAAAGGCACGCACTGTGCTTATTTGTGTGAATGAATGTGTGTATTGATATATGTGGATGTTGGTATTAAAGTAATGGAACTCCCGGGAGGTTGGATCACTACCAGACGCATTAGATGATCGGGTCACTGCTGGACAGCGAGATGTAACGCAGTAGTTCACCGGGCATGGTGCTGGATAACGAGACGTAACGCAGTACTATTGCTTTTGAGGTAGGGAAACCAGACGACGAGACGTAACGTAGTGGTCCCTAGTAGTAATTATGTATATGAGTAAGGATAGGAGTAGAGAACTCCTATAAGTTAATTAGAGAATGGATTATAAAGGGTGAAAGTGAGAACGACTTTCACGTTAGAGGAGAAATTCTAATAATGTTAAATGTCAATGAAATACTTAAGGCAAGGACATTAGGTTGTAGTAATGACGAGACTGACCCCTTCTCACTCACTAGGTAAAGGAAGGGTTAGAGGGTGAGTAGCTCGGGAGGAGATAAGGCGAGACGAGCAACAACATCAGCAGTGAAGGTGTCTCAGGAAGGATCACAGTCAGGAGTGGAAGCTGGAACTGCGTAGTTGTTTCATATATGAATATGAATACAAACTGAGGTTGAGAGGTTAAGTTTTATAGACTATGGATTGAGGTCGCCCAAGTGTTTAGGGCATTTCATTTGAATTTCTTTTGGAAATGATTCAGTTGTATTTGTTTTTTATTGAAGTTTTTTAACATTGTGTTGGTGGGCTCCAGAGCCATGAGTATTTCTATTTATTTAAAAGGACCGGGGTGTTTCATTTTCGTATCAAAGCCGACATTCCTCTGTTCCTTGGTCTCCATGGAATACTGGAGTGACGATCTAGGTTTTTAAAGGTCTCTGTTTTGAAAGGAAAGGAAAAAGGAGTTTTCAGTTAAAAGTTTGGCCAAACGAGTCAAGGACTTCTTTTGAGAATTTATAGAATCTCTAGTATACTCTAATTATGATAAGAAAATAACTCTAACTCTAAGGAGGCCTCCACAGGATTATGATATGTCCCGGAAAGGGGAAAGGAAGGATTCCTATGGGGATCTCTTAATGGACGCCCTTTATGAGCAAGATGGGCAGTCCAAGGTTGCTCACACCGTACTGAGACCCGATTTAGCAAGGACATCGAAAGACGGTAGACAAGAAATTTTCGCTAATGGTGGCCATCAACCTGGAGGAAAGGATGGAAGGAATGTTCGTCCAGGTTCACGAATATCGAACTTTGGGGTATGACCTTAAGGAGTGTTGGTGATCAACGAGGGCCTCATGAGGATAGCTAAGGAAGCTTTTAGGAGTTGGAGCAGTAGTACAAGGACTTTACCATTAAACCACTAGTAGATGATCTAATAAGCTAAGACAAATAGCTGAGGAAATATGAATCTCCAAGGAAAGAGGTACAATAACCAGAGTCCAATAACAATGATAAAAGGAGGATTTAAGGGTCCTTGACCCTAAGCAGTGGCAAAGAGGCATCGAGTCAAGAAACAAAAAGGCCCCGTGAGAAGCCATTCAACTCATTTTAGTGGTCGACACTATTATGACACAGTGACAAGGAGCAGTTCAAAGTTTAGACTTTAAGCAATTTTGGGGATGCATAAATGAAGCAAGAGAGGAAATAAGTAGGTCATAGGAAGCCTGGCAGGATTTCAAGGAAGCAATAGGTCAAAGATAAGAGGAAACATGGTTGTTTACATACATCGCCTTAGGAAACCCTTATAGATAAAGTATAGATGTAAACAAGAGGGTTCATGAACTTGGGGAACTAGGCCGATGAAAAGCCTTTAAAAAGGGACAAGACGAGGATCAAGATAAATGATGTAGAGAACAAGGATGGATAAGAATAATATTTAACTGATAGGTGCAAGCTAAAGGACATAAGATATGAGATGGAATGGCATTATGTTAGAGCATAATGGTACGAATGGAGAACAGCGAACTAGATACTAAGTCAACACTAAGAAAGTAAGAGGACTTATATGATCCAAATCCGAAGAGAATCCTTGAACTCAGATGATATGACCTAAGTACGCAGCTACAACGATATTTTTATGATTTTCTTGAACTCAAAAATAAAAGAATAAGGTGGAACACGATCAAACATATCCCAACCCGTGTGAAGGGCCAATTGGTATATGAAACCAATCAAACAATCACCAACTCATGAATAAGACCACGAGAAATATCGCGCTATTCGATATCACATCAAGGACGGTTTGAGACATGAGAAGGGATTTGAAAGACCATATAAATGACTATGGCCACGGAAAACCAGGAAGCCATGAGACACAAGGAACATCATTGGAACGTTGGAAGGGGAATTGAAAGAGCTCCTATAAGAGAAGATAGGAGCTCAACATGTGTTGACCTGATGTGGGATTTTCCTATCCTAAATGGTGGGAGCACCAAGTCACCTAGGTTACCTGATAGGTGGCAGAAGGAGGAACCGCTGTAGTGAGTTGGAATGAAGTAGACTAAGAGCAAGAATACCGAAACTTGCTACAACCATAAGTCATCAAGCCAATCGAGGATAGACAAGCAAAACGTTCAAGGGAAGTCCTAAATATCAAAGACTTCAAGGAAAGGTTCCAATAGTCATGATAAGGAGGACTTAGATAACACACCAGGAGAGAGCAAGGAGTCCACTGGTCAACTCTAAGGTGGGAGTTGCGAGCTCTTTTGTGTAAATGCATCGTTAAAATCATTTAGAGATTGGTAAGAAATCCAAAAGTGGTACGGAATTCGAGAATGTCATCTCTGAGGCCATGATCGGGAGGTTTCACTAGTGACGTCGTCGAGTGCATGAAGTTGAGGAAGGACATGTGGGTTCCTGGTTAAAAGGGTTGGAATTTGGGTAAGTAACTTAAGTTCAAGAAGTTGTGTAAAGGAGTACAATGAGGAGAAATATTACTGAGAAAGAGGAAAGCACTAAGTTACATGATTCAAAGTGCCCCACTCTAAGTGGTTGTGTCATGGTAGGATTTCATCAATAGGGGCAAGATAAGGATAAACGAGATACATTTAGTCAAGCCACCGCAAACCTGAACTAAGTGATTAAAGCCATGGACAAGCATCGACATGAGTAAAATATATGGATGACATATGTTAAAGTTTACCTAGAGAAAACCTCTAATGGATATGTCGACCCTGAGAAACGACGAGGAACTACTAAATCGAGTTCGGTTATCAAAGATAGTACAAAGCATCGATAAAGGAATTGCGGAAGTAAGGAAGTAAGTAGGACACCACAAGTCTATAATGAAAGTTATAGTAAAAAGTTGGTAGTCGAAAGGACGAAGAATTCAGGGAGAAAGATAGTACGAAAGACAACAAGGAGGTGTTAAGGTGACTACCGGTAGGGAACAATCGGACATAGGATGTCCGTCGAGAACTTAGAAGCTCATCGGTCAACTTGAGGTGAAAGTAAGCTCATCTCGATATTTCGAGGATGAAAACCTTATGGGTCAAAGTATTTAATTGAGGAAGAGCATCTTAGAATCTAGCGGACTACACCGAGTGAACTGCTTAAAGGAGCATGGAAAATGTCGAAGTAAAGTAAGACAAAGTGATGTAGAGGAAAAAGTTTAATCCTTACATGACCAACGCCTTAAGGAGATGATATCAGAGTTCAAACCAAACACATTAGAAGGCGGTTTACGCACATGGTAGCATGTCTACGCCTTGTGCGACTCTAGCTACTATGTCACTAACAAGGAGACAATGGAATGAATTTAGCCATAATAGTGGACTTTTGGGGCTTTATGATTGTCGTGGGCACGTAATAGAGGTACGAAGGGATATCTTTAATGCATTACGAAAGGTGAAAGTACTAAAAAGAGGACTTTAACCATATGAAACAGTCATCAAGGAGAGGATCATTGGAATTGACAGTTTAAGGCTGAGACGGAGTATTAAAGAAGGAAAAGTAAGAGATGCAACATTAAAAGGTACAAGGACCTAGAGACCTATGTGGTTAACTATGGACTAGAGTTGAATGAGTTTTACGACATTACAAAGAGAAGTATAATATGCCACCAATAACCTTGGGGTTCGAAGTACATAGCCAATCTGAAGGGGGTAAGAAGCATCAAACAATCGGGTATTAGCGAGCAAGTCGAACGCTCACCATGGACGTTTATGTCATGGAGTTCAAGGAGATGCATCAACTGTCCTGAAAAGGAGAACATTATAGGTCAAAATATTGGTGAATTATTAGACAAAGTTACTTAAGGAATCATAAGAGGAGACCTTGAGAAAGCAAAGTGATCACAAGATGATTTGGCAAAGCACCACAACATCGAAGTCGTCTATGAGTGGAGGATTTAATAGTTGTATCGAGCAAATAGTTAGTTGAGCAGGTTGTCTATGAGAAATGGGTGAACTACTAGTCTACTAGAATCACATCTGATTGGAGGAAGATATTTATAGCTCAATGTCGTACAAGTTAAAGGAGGTATAATTCATTGTAAGGAGAATTATCACAAGGAACAAATTTCGAGGGCAAAATTTTCACAAGTGGAGAGGAAATGTGATACCTCGATTTGGATCTAGATTCAACAACCAACTACTGAATGAGTTGGACCATGAATCATATTGAATCAAAATTTCGTTTTATCATGCAACCAAGCCAAGTTGCAAAGAATTAAAAGGGCACCATCGAAGCAGATATAGTGAGAATAAATTTTTGGGGCAAGGAAGTACAAGACCGGTGTGAAAGGAAAGTTGAGTTCCGAACAAATTTTGGAGACAAATTTTTTATAAGGGTGGAGGAAATATTACACTCCGACGTTTGGGTTAGGTTCAACCATAACTAATGAGCAGTTGTATTGATGGTTAAATACAAAGGGTTACAATCGTGGATTAATTATTAATAATATAAATATTATTATATTATTACTGTTATTATTAATTAAAAAATATAGGTTTAATACACTTGTATATCCAAAACTTTCACGGTTCTGCCAATAATATCCAAATTTCACGAAATACCACTTATATCCATGTTTTAAAGTTGTTCTTTGCCAAATCTATCCATTTCCCAATATATTTTTGGTTAAATACACTTGTATATCCAAAAACACCGTTAAAGAATGTGAAGGAATTGGATATAAGTGGTATTTCGGGAAATTTGGATATTATTGGCACAACCGTGAAAGTTTTGGATATACAAGTGTATTTAACAAAAAATATATGTATTAAAGGGAAGGTGCCGCTCCCCCCCCCCCCCCCCCCTCGATTATTTCCGCATGCAGCTAGAAGAAACCCCCATATAAAAAACCCCAATATTCCCTCAACCTGAGTCCCCTCCCCTCACGATTATCCCCCCTCCCGCAGTGGAAGCGTAGAGAGGAGCAGCGCAACGCACGTAGCGAGAAGAAAAAGGGAAATTTTCTCCCTCAACGCCACGTCGTTTTCCAAGTTTGTTTGATTAATCAAACTAACCCAAACCGTCAATTGTAAATCATAGTTTGACGGCAAAAGATTGAGGTCTAAAGGTGGTTTAATCGCCAACCAATAACAAAATGAGAGATGATGCGATAAACGACATGGGGAATGGACGACCCGTCGATGGCCTCCGAATTGAGGGCCAAATAAGAAGGTCAACAAGGGTAACGACAGGAGACTCCAAGCGCATGCAGTGATCGAGGAATTGGTTTCCGAGGAAGAGGAAGTAGAATATGAGTTTGACGTGGAAATTGAGAAGGAAGATGAGGGAAAGACTGATGACGACGAAAGAAAGGTTTAAGAGAGCAAGCGACTTAAGGTTTCTTCTTCAAAGGAACTAAGGAACCACCATCCAACAGGTGAGTGTAAAGGGGGTATAATCTCTATCGAGTTCCTTTAGATTATGTCTTTTATTTCAATTTATGTTTGTTAATTTACGAGTTAGGTGCGTTTACTTATTGCGGTATCCCACCGCCTTCTGAAGGCGGAGGCACTTATTGTGCTAATTTGTGTGAATGAATTTGTGTGTTGATATATGTGGATGTTGGTATTAAAGTAATGGAACCCTTGGGATCACTACTGGACGCAGTACATTATTGGGTCATTGCTGGACGACAAGGCATAACGCAGTAGTTGATTGGGAATGGTGCTAGGCGGCGAGACGTAACGCAATACCATTGCTTTTGAGGTAGGGACATCGGACTGTGAGACATAACGCGGTGGTCCCTAGTAGTAATTATGTGTATGAGTAAGGATAGGAGTAGAGAACTCTTATAAGTTAATTAGAGAATGGATTATAAAGGTGAAAGCAAGAATGGCTTTCACATAAGAGGAGAAATTCTAATAATGTTAAATGCCAAGGAAACGCTTAAGGCAAGGACTTTAGGTTGTAGTAACGACGAGACTGGCCCCTTCTCACTCATCAGGTAGATGAAGGGTTAGAGTGAGAGTAGCTCGAGAGGAGATAGGGCGAGACGAGCAACAACATCAATAGTGAAGGTGAAACTGCATAAATTTTACATTTTATGATTATGAGTATAAACTGGAGGTTCAGAGGTTAAGTTTTATTGACTATAGATTGAGTTCACCCAAGTGTTTTGGATATTTCATTTGAATTTCTTTTGGAAATGATTTGGTTGTATTAGTTTTTATTGAAGTTTTTGAACAATGTTTTGGTCGGCTCCGGAGCCAATAGGATTTTGGTTTGTTTAAAAGGATCGGGGGTGTTTCAACTTTTGTTGCAATCGACGACGATGAGGTTATTCTCCGTGATGTGATTATCCACTTTGCGAAAGGGAGTCGCAAGCAGGAGCTGGAATCGATCGAAAGATGGAGCAGCAAAGAGTGAGTCGAAGGAATAAGATATCACCAGGGGTGGAACAGAGAAGTGTAGATCTGTGTTGGTTCTGAACCAAATCTATGGCCACTAGCGCTTTTGAGGGGAAGTTGTTATTTGGTTCCAATTCCAATCACTATAGAGCCTTCAAAATAAAATTTCCACCATTAAGCGAAGAAGTAAGGTTGTCAAACCGCTTTATGCCGGTGCGCCTGTTTCATAGGTGAAATGGTTCGAATGTTGTACAACCAATTTACTCCATTTTATGCCAATTTCAATAAAATATTTCATTATAAGAATATAAATAAACTATCAATTTCCAAGAAAAAACCTATCAAAATATATATTTCTTTGCTAGTTTCCTACTACTCAGTTCCCACAAATAGCTCAAATTAATTTTGTGCAATCTTTCCCAAAAAAACTCGCACAATTTAATCCTCTGCTCCCCTTCCCACAAATATAATACTTTGAAATTACACAAAAAAGAACGGAACAGCCACCAGAATCTTTATTTCGCTTTCGTCTTCCACTTTCTTCTCCTTCTCCCCCATCCTTGTCTCAACCACCGCCAACTTCAAAGTCTCTTCTGATCCAACCAACCGCCTCTCCAACTATTACCCCTCCGCCCTGACCCCTGTAATCTCACCGATGTCACCTGCCTTAATTTCACATCCGTCTATCGCTTACTTGAATCACCTCCGAGTCCTGAGCCTCAAATCCAATTCGCTCGTAGTTTTATAAAAAAAGTATACATCAAATTAAGTACTTTGCATAGTTACCAACCACAAGTGTGAATGTGTGACTGGCATGAATGTGATATTGTGCTGGTATGACTGGTATGATTGCAAGTTGATGATCTGAATAATTGTGATAGCTCGACATGAAATCCTACATAGATTGAGATTTGAAATCGACAAATTTGCATCAACCGCTCTCTAACAAAAATTAGAACTAATAATGATGATCCCCCAATTCTTCTTTTTCTATCTATAAAAGCATAACATATATTAATGTTGCATTATATGGTGGATGTCTATCCAATGGAACAATCTTCTTCATATAATCATCATACCACTCAACATCTACTCTATCGTACCACTAACATATGATAATATCATGGTCATATCATAATCATACCACTATGATATGGTCTTCGAATGATTGATATGATCGTGATATGGACTGATATGGTCTTGATGTGAACTGATATGAGCTTGATATGAAATGATATGATCATACAACCAACATAATATCATAATCATACAACACAATATTACATTCATATAAGTCATAACAACATAATATCAATCATACCAGTCAAACCATAATCATATCACCATCATATCACAATCATACCAGTCATTAGGGGTAGGCAATGGGCAGGTTGGGCGGATTTTGGTCTCAAATTGACCCACCCGCTTACTAGTGGCTTTGTACGATGGTGACCCACTATCCACCCACATTCTTCTACGGGTTTGGTTGGATAGATGACGGGTGGATACAGTTTGGTTTTGGGTTAACCTGCAAAAGCAATTCTCTAATTAGACATTAAACAAGTTGGCGAATATTTATAACAAAGGGCAAGCACACCTCATTGAAGGAGGCAAAACAGAGTTAGGGTCAATGCACTTTATTTACCTGGTCTAGTGCCTGTAAAGTGCATCACAAACAACTAACTTGGACTAAAAATAATATTGCATAATAGAGAGATATTTTCCAACCGCTCTAGGAGGGTCGGAGGGCAACTTGCTATGGTGCCAAGCATACAAAGAAGACCGAGATTAAACAATATCAAGCATACAAACCACTTCCATGCGAGGAATCAAAGTAGGAAAATGGCTAAATTGCGACATGCAGTCTATTGTTAGAGGTGCATAGGGATGTTAATGAGCCGAGCTGAACAGAGTTTTGCTTTGTTCATGTTTGGTTTGTTTATAAACAAGGCGAACTCGAGCTCGGCTCATTTATGAATGAGCTGAGTTGAACCTAACACGAGCCAACTCATTTATTGATTCTCGACTCATCATTAAGATCAAAATTTCGGCTAGAGCTCAACTCTAAGATAAATTATGAATTAAATACCCTAATATTTATATGTCATATACAATACATGTGATTAATTGATCTTCATGCCATATACGAGACATATTCGCTCACATACTTAAATTATTAAACATCACAGGAGGTGTAATATACAATTTAATAAATATATGCATCATTAACAAACTAACTCATATAATATAGATCGATTTTCTCATAAGCCGTAATCAAGTTGGATCGCTAATTACAATGTTGAGACATCTCATGAGCTCAAAATGAGATAGTTAATGAGTCGAACTCAACAAGCCACCAAATCGAGCTAGTTCACGAGCCTCACGAACTGAACAAGGTGAAGCTCAAGCTCAGCTTGTTAATAAACGATTCAAGCTTTTATTGGATCGAAAAAGCTTTTATTGAGTTCGAGACCGAGCCGTTCACGAATAGCTTGGTTCATTAATAATCCAAGAGGTGCTGTGGAAATCAAAATGAAACAACATGCCAATTCCACTTCATAGATAAGTTCTCCGAGCAAGACTGAATTTGATCAGAGGTGGAGTCGACATACAGGTTATGGCTGATATGTCACCGAAGTACTTTGGGTGGATCGAACACGACATTCATTGGTAAAAAAAACTTGGTTGCCATAGAGTAGCAACACGGATGTAAACTGGTCCATCTCTGTGTCCATATGCAATGTAAACCTCTGTTGCAAAATGGCTTGTGCTTCACAACCAGTACCTAAAAATATGCATGTCATTTGGTAATGAAAATGAATATTATACAAGAAGAAAGAATTAGAAAAAGAGAGAGAAAGTAGAGAGAGGATTCTCCCAAATTTTCGGCCGCTAGGTTTCCGATCAAGCGTGCTGGTCGCGCCGGCATCTGCGCCGGTGTGTGAGTGAGGTTGGTTTTCTGCAATGGCTTCTTCTTCATCGCCGCCGGACACGAATTCGTCTCAGGGAGTCCCGGTGAAGCCCTGGGCGGACCTGTTCGGCATCTCGGAGGCTAATCGACTATGCTATGTCAAGCCTGAGGTCTACAAAGGAGGACTTCGTATGCCCAAAACGGTCATTGACGAGGGTGCGGCTCGCTTGAGGCACAGCCTGGTCCGACAATTTCTTCATGAGGCTCCATCGCTTCCTGTGCTACGGAGGTGGGCAAATAAGATCTGGGGAAGGGATGGGATGGTTCGAGTTTCGCTTCTGGGGGATAAGCTGCTCCTGATACAGCTGCCTACCCAGGCCACCTGTGATTGGATACTGGAGAGTGGCCCCTGGTTCTACTTCGACAATCTGCTATACCTGCGTCCATGGAAGTCGGGGATTAATGTAGAGGATCTGGGAAGGAAGGCTTTGCCTATCTGGGTAAGGTTCACTAACACTCCTCTTGAGTATGTTAATTTTCAAGGGTTTAGTCGAATGGGGAGTTGGTTGGGTGTACCTCTTGGTGTCGACCAGACTACTCGCCTAGGTGGACGTTTAGGGGTAGCAAAGGTCTTAGTGGAACTGCGTGCTTCTGGGGAATTTCCTGATCACGTCCTAGTCTGGCCTGATGATGATACTTCGATAAGGGTGGGAGTGGGATACAGTTTTCTTCCCCCTGTTTGTCAGGGGTGTTGTTCATTTGGGCTGGATTGTGGTTGTGCTAATAAGCAGGGTGAGAAAGTATGGGTGAGGAAGGATAACAGGGTGCAGGAGAGGATTGAAGTTGTGGAAAGCAAATCAGGGGGAGTATCTTCAGTTAGTCCAGTTGACAAGGTGGGAAATGAGGCTGATGAACACAATAAGGGTAAAGAGAAGGTGATAGACTAAGTGGTAACTCCGATTAATACCTCTGTGATGGTTGGTTCAAATCTGATCCAGTGTACTAATCTGGATACTCAGTTTCAGGAGGCTGCTCTATCTCCTCTTCTCCCTTCAGAAGATGATTTTCAGCTTGTGGTGAATGGAAGTAAACATCGAGTTTGGTCTCCTAGTCCCAGCCCTAAGAGTGTATTGAACATGGCTCGGAATTTTGAAGTGTTTAACAAGTACAATGAGGATGATGTTACCAAACTTCAGGAAGCTCCAAAAAAAAGTAGTAAGAAGGGTGGGAGGCTTACCTCTTCAACCCCACCATGAAGATCCTCTTCTTGAATGTTAGAGGGTTTATTTAAACCCTCTAAGAGGCAGGGTTTTGTCCAAACTCTGCGTAGTTATAATGTAGATATAGTGGTTATTATTGAAACTAGAATAAGGCAGGAAAAATCTGAGGAAGTTGCTGAGAGCTTTTGTCCTCGTTGGCATAGGTTTTTGAACTATATAGAGAGTGATTTGGGGAGACTATGGGTCTACTGGAATCCTGACAAAATTACTGCGAGAGTCTTGTTGCCTGGTAAAAACTTTGTGCATCTTTTAGTCCAAAGTAGTGATGGGGAGTCTTGTTTTATCACGGGAGTTTATGGTTCTAATGAAGAGGCTGAACGTCGAGTTACATACACTGATATGACCCCTTTAAAGGTTTCTTCTATGCCTTGGATTGTGGGGGGGGGGGGGGGGGCGATTTTAATGCTGTTCTTTGCCCCTCTGATACGTCAAATTTAACTGATATGACTAGCTGTATGGGTGATTTTAAAGGTTGGGTGTCTACCATGGAGTTATTTGATCATAGATCGTTTGGGCCACACTTTACCTAGACAAATACACAAGAGATGAACCCTATTGCGAGACGTCTAGATAGAGTGTTGGTGAATGAGAAGTGGTTTGATGTTTTTCCTGAGTGTATGGTGGAAGTGGTCATTGGATCTTTGTCTGATCACTGTGGAATCTTAGTTTCTACCAAGCCTGATCAGGGTACATCTATCTAGCAGCTCAGCAAGAGGCTCTAAGGTCTCCTTCCACAGATAATTTCTAAGAGGTTACTGCTCATCAGAAGAAGTGGGGGGAATTGAAGGTAGCAGAGGAAGGGTTGTATTGGAGAAAGGCCAAAATTCGAGGTTTAACTATGGGAAACAGGGGTACTAGGTATTTTCATCAATCTGTTAAAATCAAGACTGCAAAGAAAGCTGTCCGGAAACTTGTTTTGGATTCAGGAGAGGAGATTACAGATGTTAAGCTTATAGCTGGGGAAGCAGTTCAATTCTATCAGTCTTTGTTTGGGATGGTGGATCAGGCAGTGAGTCCAAATAAGTTGGAGCTAGAGGCTCTGGTCACTAAACACTTGTCTGAGGATGAAAAGTCAATGCTTTGTGGGGCTGTCACTTCTGATGAGGTTAAATCAGTAGTCATGCACATGAATCCACATCGAGCTCCTGGCCCTGATGGATTCTCTGCTGGTTTCTTTCAGAAAACTTGGTCTATCATTGGGGAGGACATCACAGCAGCAGTTCTTGATTTCTATTCTACTGGCAGGCTGCCAAGCAGTGTTAATTCTACTGTTGTTTCACTTATACCTAAGGTAACCTCTGCCTGTAAACTCAAAGATTTCAGGCCCATTTCATGCATTAATATACTCTACAAAGTCATTGCTAAGCTTCTATCTAATAGACTAAAGAGGGTTCTCCCAAGTGTTATAAGTAATAATCAATCAGCCTTTATAGAAGGGAGGAGAATTGTGGATAATATCCTTATGGCTCAGGAGCTGGTCAGTAGTTATAGTAGAAAGAATCTTTCCTCTCGCTGTGCTATTAAAATTGATTTGATGAAAGCTTTTGACTCTGTAAACTGGGATTATCTTTTCTTAATGATGGAAACTATGGGATTCCCTGTTAAGTTCATGTACTGGATTAAGCTCTATGTTAAAACTTCCAAGTTTAGTATTTGCATCAATGGGGGACGTTGTGGTTTCTTTGGGGCAAAGAGAGGTGTAAGGCAGGGGGATCCTCTCTCCCCATACCTTTTCACCATTGCTATGGCAGGACTGTCTTCCCTCAGTGCAAACACATAGGGTTAACTCACCTATGCTTTGCATATGACCTTCTGATCTTTACAGAAGGCTCTGCACAAGCAATATGCAAGGTTCAGGAGTTGTTGACTGAGTTCTATTCCCTTTCTAGACTTAAATGCAATCCGAGCAAATGTGAAATTTATTTTGGGGGGCTATCTGGGCTTTACAAAAGCAATGCTCTTCAGTTGTCTGGGTTCCAAGAGGGAAAACTCCCTGTCAGGTACTTGGGGCTTCCATTATTCTTAGGGAAGCTCTCCTCAGCTGAGTGTGACAAGTTGGTCGAGAAAATCACTCACAAGATTGGGACCTGGCGTGCAAAGAAACTGAGTTATGCAGGTAGGCTAGAGCTGATTAATTCAGTTTTCATGGGCATCCTGCAATACTGGATGCAAGTTTTTCTCCTGCCTAAAAAGGTTTTAAAGAAGGTGTATGTTGTTTGCTCAAGGTTTCTTTGGCATGGGGGGAATGAGGTTAGAGCAAAAATAGGCTGGGAGAAAATGGCTCGACTAAAAGGAGAGGGTGGACTTGGCATCAAGGATCTCCTGGCTTGGAATAGAGCCTGTTCTATTCGAATGGTCTGGCTTCTTATGATGAAGAGTGGTGCAATTTGGGTGGCCTGGATGTGGAGATACAGGGTCAAACAGGGTAGTGTTTGGACTATGAATGTGAGTCCAAGTAGTTCTTGGGCATGGAGAAGGGTCCTCAAGCTTAGAACATTGCTTCAAGCTCATCTAACAATGGCTGGTGATACTCCTAGTTGGGATGGTAAGTTGATGCCTGTATATAAGGTGTCCACTGTGTGGAATTCTTTGCGTATTGAACATCAAAGGGTGGAGTGGGCAAAACTGGTATGGGGAAAGAAGCATCTACCTAATAACAGTTTGCTTGCATGGCTGGTTCTGTTGGATGGTGTTACTACCAGGGATAAGCTGGTAAGATGGGGTAAGACTTTGGATGGCTCCTGCTTGCTTTGCAGGGGGTCGGTGGAGACCAGAGAGCATTTGTTTTTTCAGTGTTCTTACTCCCTGTAGGTTGTTTCATGCTGGAGAGAAGGTCATCTGCTTTGTAGACCGAGTTGGCAGGGAAGTGTGCAGGCTGCTGTTGCCTTGAACAAGAGGGGAACCTCAACAGGGAGGGTTGCAGGGATCTTCTGGTGTGCTTGTATTGCTTACCTGTGGCGTGAAAGATGTAGCAGACAGCATCAAATGGCTCCTAGGGATGCTGCAGCTCTTGGTAGATTGATTATCTCTAATTTATTGTATCTGGGTAGTGAGGATAGTGATTTACAGGCAGACCTGGTTGCTGCTGGTTTCCTATAGGTTGAGATGGGGAGGTTTTGAGTAGTCAAGTGGGGTTTTTTTTTTATTCTCTACAAGGTTACTTGCCTGAAGTGATCCTTTTCGTTGTATCAGTCCCTATATGTACTCTGCATATAGATTTTGGTAATACAATTGCAACTGATTCAACGGAAAAAAAATGAATATTATCTGAAATCAAAACGAATGTCCTAAAAGATTGAAATATGAAAAATACTCAGTCTGCTTTCTCCCTATGTTTAATTTTTTTTTTTCTTACTATAAAGCAACAAAATGAAGCAATACACATTGCCATTTTGGTTCTCACTAGACTCAAGTCAGTTCATGATCGTAAGACCGTGAACCCAAGCAAGAGACCATAAACTGAGTTAGTGATGCGACACGTTTTGGTCCGAGATCACGCTCCCCGCCTTGAGTTCACGGTCGTGAACTCGGACCGTGATTTGAGCCCGACATGGCATATAAGGGGGCTTGAGCTGAAGGAAAAAAGGGAGGAGACCTTGAGTGAGAAAACCTTCTTCTTCAATATTTTAGAGAGAGAAAATGACGAGCGAGAAGAGAGAAGAAGTTAGGATTTCATTCCAGGGCAAGGATTTGCGAAAATCTTCCCCAAAGGAAGATCTCTTCTACACAAGGAAGGATTCAAGCATCTCCATGATGATTTTTATTCTTTCTCCTTGTGTTTTTCCCTCTCCTAGCATGGAGTAGTTTCCCTTTTCATTTGGGTGTTTGTGAACCCTAACTATTACCATGTGATTGATTGTATAAAATGATTGTCTATGTGTGAGTGTGTTTTAATACGAATTTGGAGGTATTTTCATGGAAGATTGTGTTGTGTATTTGCCTATCAATCTATTTGCCATTCTAACCTAGGTAGAGAGAAAACCCCCTTTTGTTAAACTATGAAGATTGTGTTGTGTGTTTCCCTTAGTTTGATGGATTACACTATGGAGACATCATGAGAGAGGCTGTTGCACACCCAAAATGACCCCGGCTCCTCAAGATGGAAGATGAAATTTACACAGAACTGTGTATCGAGTTCTATAGCACTTTCTACATCCTTAAGAGAGGAGCCCGTTCGGGCACCTGACGTGCTTTGTTGATTTCCACTTGGGAGGTGTGCATCGTGTACTGACTTTGACGAGCTTGCTCAAGTCATGGGAGTCCCCACGGAGTCGCAAGCAGAGTTGGAGGCAGATGCCATCAAAGATCTTAACGTTCAAGCCGCTTTCAAAAGGTTTTGCCTCCCAAAAAACCGACGATCTCGATTTGATCCATCCCGCACTTCAGCATCTACGCTCAAGCCGCAATGGCATGTCATCAACACACTCCTTGCTCATTCACTTTAGCCAAGCTACATGTGCGCGAACAAGATCACCGAGAGAGCCTTGCTTGCATTCGCCTCCATGACGGATCCATCCAGTTACCTTCACCTTGGCTCTTTCCTGGAAACCTCTTTCAGCAGGGCTTTTAGCGGCAGTCGAAGCAATGTCACATCACTGGGTCCATACATCACCCACCTAGCTCGACACTTCAATGTCAACCTAGATTGTTGCAAAAAGGAAGGGCGTTCCTCGGGGTTTAGGGAGGAAACCTTAAGCGCCATGAACCTACTTCGAATCTTCGGACCCCATTGATAAATTGAGGGCATGTTCCTACCTCCAAGGGTCCCTCCGCTCTAGCTCTAGGCCGCCGCCAGCGTACCGCACCACCACCATCAACAACATCATCATCTAGAGCTGGTCCTTCCTCCTCTAGAGCCCACCTCGAGTAGCGTGTGGATCGCCTCGAGGAGAAGTTGGTTGGAGGCTTGGAGTCACCACCCGGCTCGAGCGATCCGCAGACCACCTAGAGAGGTTTCCTCGACGCTAGGGTGTCCTTTCGGACGATGAGTAGTGACTTTTGACCCGAGAGAGGTACCCTTAAAACTAGGACCAAGCCGAGCTACATCTTCCCACATTTGGTGATAGGTATCACATCTAGTTGCATTGAATTGAGTAACATTTTTATACCACCATTTTGATATGGTCTTGCAAGCCTTTTCCCAGAGTTCTTTCTTCAAAACTGTAGTTATTATTTTCTGTTTGCCAGTGCCACTAGCTTCAATAGCAGTTTCACTACCCTCTCTGTCATGAGTAAAACCGGGATCATGTAACTTCCTTGCCTTAGTCCTCTTCCCTTCTTCAGTTGCACTAAGTAGCTCTAGCATTTTTGCTCTAACTTCATCAGGAACACTAACACAAGCGACAAAATCCTTTCTTGTTCCTGCAAGATGATGTTTGAAGCGAGATATACCAGTTACTTCTTCTCACAATAATTGCATCTCAGTTTCTGCCCATTACCGAGTACATCTATACAATGCTGCTGACTCGCACGAAACTGCACTGCGAATTAATCCCGACTAGAGCCCAAGTTTTTAAACTCTATCCGGGTGCAGTATAGGGCAAGTATTTAGAATGTCAACCCGGGCCGGTCCATGTACCCATACTTCAATCACTCAGATTTTTATCTAGAAAACGGTTTTTGGATTTAAATCTAAGAGCTAAGAAAACTATAAACTAAAAAAACAAGCAAGGAAAGTAGATCGAGGAGAATTCTATACGAGAGGACTTTACTAGGGTATTGCTTCCCCTAATCTTGTATTAAGAAATCATGAACAAAACTCTATTGTGAAGGATGCGTTCCTATACCGTGAGGTGGGTGCATCTAGCTAGGGGCAAACTCTCCTAGTCGATCGATTAAGGGTTGTGACACGAAGCTAGGGAATCTAGCTCTCTTAACCGATCAACTGAGGAAATCCTAACTCCCTTAGTTGACCAATTTAGGATTGTTGCATTAAGTTAGCGGTCTAACTCTCTTAACCTTTGGGTTGAGGATTGGAACTCTAGGCTAGACGATCTAGTCCCTGTAAACCGGTTGACTAAGGATTGCAAACCAATCCCTCAGAACTTAATCCTGACGGCGGAGAGACCAATCCCGTGGGAATCAAGGTGCTACTCCGTTACTTGAGGTTTTGTCCCTAGATTAACATAGAAAGGGTTACCCGAGTGGGTAGGAGGTCAAGCTCCCTATGGCCCAAAGGGGGATTTCCCCCTCCTAGGTCTATTTGACACAAAAATGAGATAATGCAAGCAACACCCACAAATCATGATTAATACCTCAAATATTATATAAAACACACAATCAACATAAATAGAATCATGTTCTTACATCCTAACACATATTTAGACTAGGATTCAAAATACCCAAGTGAGTAGGTGGGCTATTTCATAACTAGACAAAGGAAAACGAGAAAAAGGAGAGAAAGAACCATGAAGAGATGACAATCTTCCTTCCTCCTTGCTTGAATCTCCTTTGAGAGGTAAGAATCTTCACTCCTCTAGCTTAAGGCAAGCCCAAATCTCCTTCTTCCTCCTTTGAATGGCACTTCCTCTCTAGAATGGGAAGAGGAAACCCTAATCTCTTACTAGAAACCCTATTTATTCTGAAAACTTAAACCTAACCTAAAAAAGAACCTCTCCCTCTTCTTCCTTTCAGCTCACATTTTATATCAATATCGGGCTCAATTCACGGTCTTGCTCCAGTAAATGCGAATTTCTCCCTGGACGTCTCGCGGTTCACGGTTTTGGGCTTCAGTTCACGGCCATAGGAGACCGTGAACTCCATTAAAACCGTGAACCTTGCCTGAATCACCCTTTTTCCCAGTCTTTGCCTCTTTTCGTCCAACTTTCGACTCCGGAGCTGGTTTCACCTGTTGGATCCTAAAACGCACTTAAACGCACAAAACCTTGCGTAAAACCACCCTTTTAGGAGTTCAAATGCTACAAAAGCCCAAGGGAAAGGAGGATAAAATGTGTGCAATTAGGCCAGAATCACTCCCCCGCACTTAGACGTTTGCTTGTCCCCAAGCAAACCCATTTTACACAAGGTAATATCTCAACCTATCAAAATGATTTAGGGACAATTCAAAGGGCACAAAGTGGTGAATCTCAAATGGCTATTGACAATTAACACATGGATCGTTGCAAGCAATACCGACATCCACCACAAACGACATTCGAGGTCACCAAAATGGGCAAACGAAAAATTCTCACCTTGTTCATGAATCAATGAAAGTCTCAAAAAAATCACTTATAAACCACAACTAACCATGCATAACATTCAAGTCCAAGGAACGAACAAATAGGGCAACAAAGGTCCTCACCGGGGTATGTATAACATGCAAAACAAGAATGAATCACTCACTCTCTTGACTAGTTGGGTCGGGACCTTTTTGGTGCAAAGAATGTGCACAATCATCAACACTCGGCCCTATCGTCTCTTCACCACGGAGACAACCTCTAAAGGTTAGAGTTTACGGGATGGTTGACATCACTAGCTTGTCCGGAGGTCTTAGAAACAGGTTCAAATGATTGGCAATTGTCTTGGACACGGGGAAAAGGTTTTTTGGGTGGTGGCAAACACATCATGAGATCCTACATCTTCACCCTAAACCCGAAGGTTCTATGGTTTCGACTAGGAACCTTCCTTACAAACAACGACCACTAGTATCAACCAAAAACCTTGCTTCTCCCTTCCAAACTATCACCCATCATGAACTTCCATTAAGCGCTCTTCCTCGGTCTACTCTTGCTATCACATTTCGATTTGGTAGTGAAGGATTTCTAAGAAAGTATGGAGGTCTCAATTGCTTGTGTGCCAAGAAACCTCACCTAGATCAAACTCTTTGATTCTTTTGTGGCACTCTCTACTTTATTGACCATGTATTATTATCTCTTTTTCGTTTCTCTTTCTCTTTCTTTCTTTCTACTTTTCTTTTCTTTCTTTATCTTTCCTTTTTGAGGGGGGGGGGGGGGTACTAGAGAGTCAAACATTTGCCACACTACTTTTAACGATCAATGCTCTCTTTTTAAGAACTCACTCCAACACTACTCTTCCTTTCACTTTCGTTCCTAGCAAGAACCGCACACAATCCTCCTATGTAGAACCTCAATGGAGCTCAAGAGCGAGAGCTTTGGGACACAAGGACGACACATGTATAAACACGAAGAAAGGGTGGGAGATCTTTCTTTCAACACCATTAATCTCACAAGCAAAAGCTCCTAAGACGAGAACGACCCCCAAAGTCACAAGGCTCAAAGGGGTTGACTAGGGGATAAAACATTTCGGGACAATCAACATTTGGGCGTGGACTAATCCTATGCCTCCATCGTATTCAGTAGTGACAACTGTGATGTTACTCGCCATGGTAAGAGGGATCTAAGCACACAAGAAGAAAACGATCTGCTCAAAACTCACATGGATACATAGTCACCCAATCATTCATTCCACTTTCACAAAACACAATGCATGGCAATTGTAATCAACAAGTAATCGAGTCAAGACATCCATTCATTTATGGAGACATGAGAACGCAACTTTGCACTATCCTAATGGACCACTCAGTCATCATCATAGGACGCACTCGATCACATGCAACAATTCAAGATCAATGCCAATAAACACAAGATTCTCCCACAAACCTGCCACTTTGATCATCCAAACATTGCTTGGAGCCCTCAAATGTTTTCAAATTTGGGCATACATCAAGGCTCCAAGCATTCAAAATCACACCAATCATTCACTCAACTATGCATAAAGGACTACCCGCCTCTCACACTTAAGCTCGACATTGCCCTCAATGGCGTAAGAGAAGGAGGTAGAACGATGTTACCGGATAGTGGTGAATGTTGGTGTTCGGGAGCGGAGGGCGGGGGAGATCCGGAAGAGCAAGGAGGCGGCAAAACAAAGGATCGACTTATTGAAGCCAAAAGAAAACAAACAGATGGTGGTTGGGTTGCCTCCCAAAAAGCGCTTCTTTAACGTCGTGAGTCGGACGGTTGCTCTTCAAGTTTCGGTCCACCTAAGAACCTCCTTGAAGTTAAGGTTGTAACATCCCGTTTCGGCAAAGCCCATATTTCGATCGCTAGAAAGTTCGCGATTTATAATCGAGCGTTTTGATAGTATTTCGACGAAAATTGGATTATCGATCGATCGGATAAGTATACGTATTATATATGTATATTAAGCGGTCGGGGCCGCATATATATAATCCCCCGTCCATTATTTCATCACCTTCTCTGTTCCATTAAATTGGGCCGAGAGAAACCGAGAAGCAGAGGGCGCGCAGGGGAGGGAACAGAAAAATTCTCCGAGCTCAATTCTTGAGCTCTAGTGATCCAAAAATCCCGTAAGTAATGCCTAATCCATCCATTCATCGTGATTTATTGATTTAGAGCTTTAAAACGAGCTTTTGGTTCATGAATTTCTTGAATTCCCGATAAGCCAAATTAGGGTTTCGGAGTATCCGGAAGCCGGATTGAGCCCAAATTTCATATACAAGCTTCCTGCAGCGAGGTAATCAATCCCCTAGTTCTAATCCTTGAATTTCGGAAATTATTTAGGTCGGGGTCCAAATCGCTGAATTTAGCTCCGGCCAGGTTTTGATGTGTTTTTATCTAGAATTTGATCCGGAGCCTAGAACTAATATTAACGGGGATACTGCAGGGGATATTAGGATTGTCTCGGATTTTAATTCGGGGTTCGTTCGTGAAATTGACGTTTTAGTACGGGAGGCTAGAACCGGTGTTTGAACAACCAGAACTGGTGAGGGATTAGCACGGCATACCGGGTTTGTTGTATCACGATAATTATATTGATGCTTAGAATTGACCTAGGTGAACTAGAATGGCATGATTAAGGGTGTATGAACTTTTGTGCTATATGGTGAACCATGGACTACTGTATGATATTATTGACTTGCCCTAATCGAGATGGATCACAAAAACTTTATGGTATATGTTGCAAATTGTGGGCTTGACTGTTGATATGCCTTATGATGGTTCGAAAAGGTGATTGGGTATGATTTTTCATGATTGTTGTATTTGGATGCACATGTGGGAAAATATAAATTCCCTGGTGATATTATGACGTTTAAGGAGGATGACTTGCACGAGGGTTTATCCCGAGGAAGTGCAATTATACGACTCCTGATTTACCTATGTTGAGCCTTAATTCTGACCTTTTTTCAGGTAGTTTTTTCTTCACAAAATTGCCCGAAGCCTACGCCTTTTTAGGGTTTAGGGTTCAGGGTTTAGAGTTTAGGGTTTAGGGTTGAAGTGATTGTTACCTAAAGTTTCTGGGTATGTCCGACCAAAGATTTTACCCACCCAATAGTGAAATCCTGCACTCCTCTCACAAAGTTCGAGTATATTCGTTCCTCTCCCTTCGCCCTTCGGTTGAACATATTCTAAAACTTCGGTCGAGTGACTTCGTTCCTCTTTTCTAATTAAAATGCGAGTGACTTTCGCTCCTTTCTTATAAAGGGTGAGCCTTCACTTTTTGGATCATCTTCTGCCCGATCTATCATCTCTATTGCGAATGAGAGCATTCTATCGGATTTCCTTATTAGATACTGCGTGCGCACACAAGAGGAATCCCTGCTATCCATATTCATTAGGAGGAATGAACGGCTTGAGACACAGCACCAGCATCTTCTGGATTGAAGAACTCGATACGACCTTGGTCTTATGAGAACAGAGTCCGAAGCAGCACGAGATGGAGCAGGAAAGAGAAAAGAGAAACCCGTCAAATGGAGTTAATCGGCCGGCCCGTTCATCGCAGTGAGAACTTGTGGGCCCTACACCCTTTCCCAAGAATTCTCTTTACCCCTCCAACCCATACTCGTTATCAATCTGCATTTCCAAGTAGTTTTCTCATATAGACAGAGTCGGGCCCACGTGTTCTTAGATCTTGTTCAACTTGATTCAGAAAAGAGATTTCCCGGCCGTCTTTTTCGGCTGGGCTCCATTCGGGGTGGGTGTCCAGGGCAGCATTCACGATGTGAGGAAAGAAGAAAAAACCATACAGATGGCATCGTGAATCCCCTACCGAAGTGACTTCACCTCCATCAGCGGTTACGTTAACAACCGATTTGCGACAGCGGATATGCGACTAGGTTGATCTATTAAATCTCATGCTATGGTCCATTAAATGCTTATTTTTCGATTCGGTATGGAAGCTTTGTTCTCACCTCCAGTACCAGCGCTTCAGAGACTAGGGCCTTGTTACAGCCTCTTCCGACTATGCCGTCATATTCTACTTCGGATGTTAAGGAGCTAGCCTCATTTAGGAGCACTGTTTTCATTCAACTCAAAATATTGTAAGAGAAGAAAGGAACATTTATGGGAGTCTTTATGGCCAGGTCAAGTTCATGTGAAAGTAACGAATTATGATTAAGCAAGATGAGATATGGATCATGTGTAAGATTATCAAATAAGAGTGATTTGGTCTCATGGTCAATTACATAGTAATTAGGGCTCCCCATGCTATTACTCCGTTATGATATTTTATGTCACACCCCTGATGTGGTGTTGACTGTTGATTCATCATGTGATATGACCACACCCAGAGTGGTGTTGAGTCAAATATGACCACACCCAGAGTGGTGTCAGGTCCGATATGACTACACTGACAGTGGTGGGTCCGATATGACCACATCCACGAGATGTTTGGTCCGTTTTCCCGGGAGAGTAATTAGCATGGGAGTAGCCAGGCGCCTATGATTAAAACATGATAAGATGCATATGCATAAGTCAAGGTGGTTGAGTCTTTTGTCTATTGGGATATGGGGATGGGTGAGGTCCGATCCTAGTGTTTTGGCTTGATTGTTAGATGTATGATAGGGGTATGCTCTGTTATGAACTCACGATGATATGATTATCTCACTCAGCTATGAGCTAGCCCTCTTTTATTCTTCTTCTCTTCTTATGCTATGTGTAAGCAGATCATCAGCAGCAGCAATAGATAAGTTTTAGGTGGGAGAGGAGCTAGAGTTGAAGCCAGGATGAGGTATGGTCTTCAACTATTCTGTGCTTGGACGACTACTCGCGATTTTGGCCAGTGATTCACACCTTTTTGTAAAAATGTTTTGAGAACGTTTTTCATGTGCATACTAGCTTCTGATGTAGTGTGAGATATCCACAGGTGTGGAAAGTTGATGATATGTATATATGTTGTGTAACTGTGTAAGTTGTGATGATTATGATATGTATAAGTATGGTATGCAGTTGTGGAGTATGAAAAGTGTGACTATGGCTAAGAAAAGCCAATGCATATGGTTGTGAGTATATATGTTTGTGATGAATTATTTTGCATGATAAGTTGCAAGAACTGTTAGCCCATTACGCGAGTAATTCATGTCGAAATTTTATTTGGGTAAATTTTGATAATTAATGTAACACCCGAGATTAATTCCGCTGCAATTGTATGAACAATATGATTAGGCAAAATGTATAGGGTACGGTGTTACAAAGGTTCTAGTCGGTGAGATAAAATCTCAAGTCACGAGCATTGGACGAATCCATGATTGAGGGCTCGTGAACTTGAGTTGTCATGAGGCTCCACCCATAAGACCTCTCATTCTTTCCTTCTCCTTCTTTCTCTTTTCCCCACACCATGTAATGCATCATCGCTTTGCTTCCATCGCATCCACCAAGAGGGATCATCGATGGTTTGGCCTTGGCTTGGCAAAGAGTCGCAAATGGGTCCTTCTCCAAAAGTGCATCGAGGTCGGGTGGAAAGCATCGGTAGCTCTTGTAACTTGTGGATGCTTCATCCGCCTCGAACTCGTCCTTGTCTTGGACGCCACTTTCTCTTTCTTCTTCTTCGATTTCCTCCTCTCGGGGATCCTCAAGAAATTCCTCTTCTTTTTCTACCACCTCCTCCAAAACTTCTTCTTTCCTCACCTTTCCTTGTTCTTCCGCAAGCAAGCGTTGAATAGAGAGTCTCTAAGCTATGTCTTCGATTGACTCGGCACTCATCTCCTCATTGAGAACTTCCTCTTCAATGCTAGGGGTGAAATGTGGAAGAGTGGTGGCTACCTCAAGAGGTTGATGAAGAGAGCATGGCCACAATCAAGGAGGCAGCACTTAAGTATGAAGCCTATGAAGTTGAGAGTCGAGGGGAACAGAAGGCCAAAGAAGAGGAGAAGAAGAGGAAGTTTGGAGTAAATTATGCTGGACCTCGTTACCAACCCAGGAGAGGTCCTAGCAGTTTTGGGAGAACACCGAGTCAATCTATGTCGGGAACATCATACAGGGCACCAATTTCCTCAGCCACACAATTTCCATTTTATCAAGTTTGTCAGAAGAGGCATCTTGGAGAGTGTAGGATATTTTCTGGTGTATGCTTTCACTGTGGCCAACTTGGGCACATCATGAGTGATTGTCCGCATTCGAGAGAAGTAAGAGCTACACAGTCCGAGCCTTCAGTGCAATTTAGTAGAGCCCCATTCAGGGGTGGTTACCAGGGAGGCCGTAGTGGATTTCAGAGTGGTCGTGGTGGTTCACAGGGTGGTAGAGGTGGTAATCGAAATCAGCCATCAGGAAGTGGTATGCAGGGTACCATAGCACAGGGTTTATGCAATGACTCGAGGTGAGGCAGAAGTGGCACCAGAAGTTGTGACTGGTATGCTCTCTATCCTTGGCAAGCAATTATATGCTTTGATCGATACTGGTTCCTCTCACTCATTCATGTCATATACGTTTGCACATATGCTACGCTTAGTTCCAGATAAACTAGTTTATACCTTATGTGTTAAAACACCTGTCGGAGATACCTTGAAGGTAGACTCAGTTATTAGAAGTTCCTTCATTTGTGTGGAAGGAGCTTTCCTAGTAGCAGATTCAATTATGCTACCTTTTGATGAATTCGATGTCATCCTTGGAATGGACTTTCTGGCAACACATGGAGCTGTTGTGGATTGTCAAAAGAAAGAAGTGTTATTCAACACACCAGATAAAGGTCCTCTTGTATTCCGAGGCATTAAGAAAAAGGAGACTCATGGTTTTCTTTCTGCCTTGGAAGCTTTTCGATTAGTGAAGGAGGGTTGTGAAGCCTTTCTTGCTCAAGTTACTGTTGTAAATGATAAGAAGGTTGAGGATGTAGAGGTGGTAAGGGAGTTTCCTGATGTATTCCCCGAAGAACTTCCTGGCCTTCCACCAGAAAGGGAAGTAGAGTATGATATTGAATTGGTACCTATCACAACACCAATTTCAATGGCACCATATAGAATGGTACCAATTGAGCTGAAGGAGCTTAAAGAACAATTGCAAGAATTGCTAGACAAGGGGTTTTATTTGGCCTAGCATCTCACCTTGGGGTGCACCGGTTTTGTTTGTCAAGAAGAAAGATGGCTCCATGAGAATGTGCATTGACTACCGGAGGTTGAATAAGGCGACAGTGAAGAATCGTTATCCCCTTCCAAGAATAGATGATTTGTTTGATCAATTGCAGGGTGCATCAGTCTTTTCTAAGATTGATTTGAGGTCTGGATACCATCAATTGAAAGTGGCAGATGGAGCAACCTCAAAGACAGCTTTTAGAACAAGATATGGGCATTTTGAGTTCCTGGTAATGCCTTTTGGACTCACTAATGCGCCAACGGTATTTATGGCTCTTATGAACAGAGTTTTTCATGAATATCTTGATAAGTTTGTGATTGTGTTCATAGACGATATTCTCATTTATTCTAAAAGCGAAGAGGAGAAAAAAAATCACCTAAGAATTGTATTGCAAATTCTAAGGGAGAAACAATTATACGCAAAGTTCTCAAAATGTGAGTTTTGGCTGAAGGAGGTAATATTTTTGGGACATGTAATTTCTGGAAGAGGAGTGGACGTGGATCCAAAAAAGGTGGAAGCAGTGGTGAGTTGGACTCCACCAAAAGATGTGTCTGAGTTGAGAAGTTTTCTTGGCATGGCTAGTTATTATCGGCGGTTTGTCGAAGGATTTTCCAAAATTGCTGCACCATTGACTAAACTGTTGAGGAAGAATACCAAGTATGTTTGGGATGAATCATGTCAAAAGAGCTTTGATGAACTGAAGAAGAAATTGACTACAGCACCAGTACTTGCATTACCTTCAAACCATGGAGAGTTCGTGGTGTATAGTGATGCCTCGTATCAAGGATTGGGTTGTGTGTTAATGCAAGATGGAATAGTTATCGCATATGTCTCTAGGCAATTGCGTCCTCATGAAGTAAATTATCCCACTCATGACTTAGAATTGGCAGGGGTGGTATTTGCTCTCAAGATTTGGCGACATTATTTGTATGGTGAGACTTTTAAAATCCTAACTGATCACAAAAGCTTGAAGTATATTATGGATCAGAAGGATTTAAATAGTCGTCAGAGGAGATGGAAAGAGTTGTTGAAAGATTATGATTGTACCATTGATTACCATCCTGGTAAAGCTAATGTAGTTGCGGATGCTCTACGCAGAAAAGGCAAGAAAAATATAACGGATCTGGTTGATTTGAGGGCAATGAATGTTGATTTGGAAGTGGATGGTGTAAAGGGTTACTAGCTCGGTTGAAC